GTAATCTGTCCATCTCTGTCAGTTCCTGCTGATCTTCCGGAGGGCCGCCGCAGGTGAGCTGCAGGAAGAGAGCGGTCTGATGGCTCTCGCTCGACTTTCAGAGATCGACGTCTCGACCGAAGGCGTTCTTGGAGCGAGGGACTTCTTTGAGGCAAAGGTTTGTGGGTTTTTATGTTTGTGTGTTTTGATGATTGGGCAAGCATTACTCAGATGTTCTTAGCTTCCACCTTGTGGTCATACAGTGTAAGTACATGAAAGTCTGACATCTTCAAAGAACACAATAAAAAAATATTACAGAGGACAGTTGTTACACTATAAAAAGCACAGATTTTTAAATTTTTTTAGCTGAACCTCTATGTCCTAAATTATTTACTTAAAGTACATTCTGATACTTTTAATAATGTTAAGCTTTCAAAATATGATTTATTGTATGAAATAAAGTGTCGAATTTTTGCAACAATTTTTGAATGTTTAGGTTAAGTTAGGGTTATTAATTTAGTTACATTTTAATTTTTTTTTCATTTAAATTTTTAAAAAAATATTGTATTGCAGTATTATTATGTATTATTATGTATACATATTTTTTAATAATTATTATATTATATTGTATTATATTATATTATATTATAATTTTATTTTATTCAGCATTCTCATGATCTTAATCTAATTTGGGAAATGCTGCTATATAGTATTATAGACCCTGTATGGCAAGTGTTATTTTATACACAATTATAATATTTATTAATATTTCCCCATTGATTTATTAATATATAATATTAATAGTTCTGTATGTTTATATTTCAGTTTTTATTTGAATTATAGTTTACGTTTTTGTAACGTTGTTATGTGCTTTTGCCATTTTCAATATTTTGTAAAGTTTTTTTTAATTATTATTTAAATAAATTTTAACATCAAAATGTTATTGATTTTTTTTTCAGTTGTGGTTGGAGAAATTTTAGTGCTGATTTATTTTAATTAATTGCCAAGGCAACATTTCAAAGTTTTTTAAGTTGACATTTTTCATGTAATATTTTATTTTATTTTAGCTTTATTTTAACTTTATTTCAGTTAATGAAAACAGTTTTTAGTACTTTTAGTTTTGCTATATAGTCTTCAGCTTCAAGTTTATTGAACACACCTAAGAAATTAATTTATAAATAGTTTTAGATGGACAACAGCAATAGCAATGCATTTATTTACATTTTTTATGTTGTAGGCATATGACATGTATTTTGTGTGTGTTTGGTAGGTTCAGGCTCTGTCTGTGCGCAGTAAGTTTGAAGCAGAGATACGAGAAGAACAAGAAGAGAAGAAGAGGATGGAACTGGAAAGAAAACAACGGCGTGCTGCCTTTAAAGCGCTGCAGTCCACATTCTGCTCCTAAAACTATAGTTCTTTTAGAGAGCACAGTTTACTTGCACACAAGCACATACAC